TTGTAAAAGTATCAGGAGAACATGACAATCGAAGAGCTATTCACTGAAATTTTCACTGAAGGTGAAAAATTCGGAATTTTTGTAAAAGTATCAGGGGAACATGACCAGCAAGGAGTTATTCACTGAAATTTTCACTGCAAGTGAAAAATTCGAAATTTTTGTAAAAGTATCAGGGGAACATGACAATCGAGGAGCTATTCAGTTTTTAACCAATATTTCGATTTATTAGCCAGTTACAAAAGAAAAAATTGAAATTATTTAAAAAAAAAAATGAATGACGGCGGGATCGAACCCTGGCCGTCGGCGTGCTAGCCGAGTACGTTACCACTAGGATAACGCACCATTACAATAATATAATTTCATTAGGAGTATATATATTGCAAAAGTTTCGTTTTTAATAATGTCAAATTGTTTAATTTCACTGCATATCTCCTCGATTATCAAATATTCAGTTTTTAAACAATATTTCGATTGATTTGCCATTAACAAAAAAAAAATTGAAATTATTTAAATAAAAAAAAAATGAATTATGCCAGGATCGAACCCTGGCCGTTGGCGTGATAGGCAAGCACGTTACCGCTAGGACAACGCGCTATTATAATAATAAAATTTCATTAGTAGTATATATATTGAAAAAGTTTCGTTTAAAAAATGTTAAATTGTTCAATTTCACTGCATATCTCCTCGATAATAAATAATTTTTTCCATTTGAAATTCCACAAAATGTGGCTGCCCCCTTCCGCTCGTTCAACAGTCGGCTAAATTCCAGTTAAACAAATAAAAAACAAAAAGTTTAACACGGCAGAAAATAAAATTCACCCCGTCGACTCGATGGACACCCCAGGATTGCGTGTTGCGCCCTCCCTCTCTTGAGGTGCAGTACTACGATGCCGCTGGGGTCACTCAAACCCCCAGAACTGAGCCTCTACATTAGACAATCCTCTTTGCCGTGAATTGTCAGATGATTGTCACATACTGTCGTGAAGGGGGGTGCAAACTGTAGCATCTTTTTTTGTCCATGAATAATAAAGGTTGTGACAATGGGAAAATAATGAAGTGTATATAGCTGACGCAGAAATAATTGGTCTAGAAGAATTAATCACCCAGAGGACCAACAATGACGCCGAAACGAAAGGTAAATTCACGCGAAATTTTGATTGTCCCCCTAACTGACATTGTATACAAACAATATCTCCAACGTTTAACAGACAACGAGTTCGGAGTCGACTTCCTCGAGTTCCTCAGGTTCTTCCTCGAGTAGTTCCTCCACTTCTGGAAGTGACTCCAGTTCTTCAGACACTGAAAATACGAGTAGTTCAGCTCGAAGCCAAAAAGCATCAGACTCCGAGAGGAATAAAAAGAAAGCGCTAGTTCCACCAAACAAACATGGAAAATCCAAGGGTGAATCAATAGCTGGGGGACCTGAGGCCAAAAGTAAAGAGAAATCAATTCTAAAGCCACGTCCAACAGTGGTTTACTCGTCAGAGTCTGAGGAATCACCAACAAAATCGAAATCCTCGGCCAAAAGGAAACCTCCCACAAAGCCTAAAGCAACAGCTACTGTTGCTCCGGTAATAAAGGCTCAGAGGCCATCTGGCAAGGCTAATCATGTCCCCTCCCAGCAACATAAGAATGCTCTAGCTTCCAAATTGCTCCACAATAAGAATAAACTCTCTGGTGGTGTGACTAGTACTAGCAAATTGTTGGATAAAAGTGCTAAAAATTCTGCTGAACCACTGCAGAAGAAATTGAAGAAGAAGAGTATTTTCAGCCCTGAGAATAGCAGTGAGAGTGACAGTCCTTCTCCTCCTAAATCCACCATCAAGGGTAGTAGCAATGTGGCCAAGTCTAAACCACCTCCGAAGCCGAAGACTAGTGAGTCAAAATCCAGACCACCACTAAACCGACCCAGTCTAGTTACAAGACAACAGATAAAATCTGAGAGCTCAGTGAGTTCAAAGAGTTGTTCAGGTGGTTCTGGTGGTTCTGGATCGTCAGGTTCATCTGATAGCAGTTCAGACTCTGACTCATCCGACAGTGCTCCAAGCCCTCAGCCACCTGCAAAAAAAAAGGATACACATTCGTCAAGTAATATTTCGAGTTCACCCCCAAAGCGACCTTCAGTGGCTGTGGCTGCTGTCAAACCACAGAAAAATATAAAGCGTCCAGTGTTGAAGAGTGAAGACGATGCTTCAGAAAGCGATAAATATGAGGATAAATATGAGCCCCCTGGGAGAAGCTCAATGGCATCGTCTCCAAAAGGAAAGAAAAAAATAGTTCCGCGAAAGGGTAGTAAATTAATTCAATCTCAGATTAAAGAAGAAAGCGATTCTGAGTCTGATACAGACATTAAGAGGAGTACGAGTAAATCATCTGTGAAGAGAGCAGCAGGAAGACACTCGTCAGCAACATCAAGGACCACTCATGGTTCAGGTGGTTCAGGAAGAGGATCACAGAGTACATCAGCACGATCACGCTCAGTCAAAGAGCGAGAATGCCCTCTGGCAACGACATGCGAGTCTTTCGGCCACTTGTCAGGCAAATTTGATATGCATTTCACACTGGAGGCGTGTCCACTGTATCATAATACAACACCACAGGCGTGTGTGTAAGTTTTTCTTTTTAAATCTAAATCTTTGGAAAATTTTCATTTCTTTTTATTTTTATTCAATCCAACTTCACTTACTCTTCTTGTCCAGGGATTTTTATAAGGAGCGCAAAAAACACGAGGATGAGCGTAAAAAAGCTTTGACGAATATGGGGAAAAAATCACCAAAAGTGATGCACCAGACCAACGATCAAAGGAATTATCAATTAAAGGTCAAAGACTTGAGGTCAAAACGAAGTCGGCCAAATGGGGATGGCAATGATAGTGATAGCGAGGGTGAGCCCCCTGGGATTGAAAAGGATCGGCAGCCCCGGTTGACTGGCCTCACTTCGGATTACGATCTGAAATTGTTCATGGAGGCACAAGCACTTGCCAGTGAAAAAATTGTGAGTCTCTCTTTTTTTTATATGAAAGAATGGAAAATTCGAGATAAATTAATTGGCCTGATCGTATGAGTTAAAATTCTAGTAATAGTCAATACGTATAATTTCATTTCGATGAACAATTACATGCCAATGAATCGTTAACGATTTATAACATTTGTATTACCATATAAATTACTCATGTGCTTTAAAAATGAAAAGAAAATCTCGTTCAAAAGACACTCGCTCACCACAAATAAATCTATCCCAATTGAAATGAATGAAAATCAATAGATCAGCCTGGAGAGCGATTTGTTCTCCATTTTTGTATCCATCGTGAAATACCAGGAGATTGTATCTGTCGATTGCAATTGGAGATTCAATCTCTTGGCATCAGCGTGCCACTATCACCTCGACCACAGCCAAAAGATATTATCTCTCCATTTGAACTGCAGCAAGGATCTCTTGGCATTCGCAATGCATGTCATCGATGCTACTGAAATAAATTAAAAATAAAAATCCTTCACAAATTAATTCCTTAATGTTGGCTCAATTATGTAGGAAAAGGAACTGAATGATCTTGATTACGAGGGTGAGGGCCGTAATGGGGGTGGTACAAAGTGTGTGGAAATGGGAAAGTGGGAGATGGAGGTTTGGTACCAGAGCCCATACCCCGAGGAATTCAGCAGAGCTCCGAAGCTGTACTTGTGTGAATTCTGTTTGCGGTATGCCAAGAGCAAGCAAGTTCTGAGGAGGCACCGGGAAAAGTGTGTATGGAAGCACCCGCCTGGCCATGAAGTCTATAGGTAAGACAATAAGTCGATTATTCAAACGAATCGATGCATGTTGATTGATTTTTATTCCCAAAGGATTGTTATTTTTGTTAATAAATTAGCTAGTAAGCATTGTGCCCTAGTGGCAGTTATTTCATCAATTTTTTAAATCTGAATTCCAATTTATCTAGATACATCTATTCTACCACTTATATCCTCCTGCTACCCTATTGTTCTAATAATTTTTTTCGTCTGGAAGAAGTTTCATGAAATCTAATTGACAACTTGGCGAAACATTAGAGTCATAATATAGTATCATCAACTATCCAATGATAGCTAAATTATTCATATCATCACTCTGCCGCTGCTAAAAACTAAATCATTAATTGCACTTACAGAAAAGACAAGATAGGAGTTTGGGAAGTGGACGGTAAGCGGTACAAACAGTACTGTCAGAATCTCTGTCTGTTGGCAAAATTTTTCCTCGACCACAAGACCCTCTACTACGATGTGGAGCCCTTTCTCTTCTACGTAATGACAATCAATGACTCTGAGGGCTGCCATACCGTCGGTTACTTCAGTAAAGTGAGCATAAATATCAATATTTCATCATCAAACATCAGCTTAATCGAGAAAACGGTGAAGTCACAGTAGTTGAGGTTCCATAGTAATCATATACTTGCACTATCGATCTCGGGGTACCTTCTTGTGAGCCATTTACTGGTTGGGATTAGCGTTTACATCGGATATCCCCAATACATCCACCAAAATGCAGTGTATGGGGGATGATTTTGAGGTGATGTGGGAGGAATTGACGATTGAGGGACGCATAGGGAGTGGCTCTGTGCGGTCTGCAGTGTCTCTGCAGGGTGGTTGGGATACGTTACTATCTATTCCCCGTAGCGCTTGGTACCTCAACTCTACCATTTACCAATCCCCTTGGAAGGTGCATGCGCCAATTCATGGACTCACTAGAATCAAGGTGCGCCACCGGATTTATGTTCAAATCACTATTACCCATTGATCAATCGTCCTTTTCAATCTTTTCAGCCAACATTTCCCAGTTATTGGTATTTTTTATTTTCACCGTTCTACATCACTATAAGGGGAATGATTTGCAAATTATTTGTAAATTGGTAAAACTATACCGGATTTCCTATTGATTTCTAAAATTCAATAAAGTGTGATTCTCCAAGAAAAATTGAGTAGGCCATTTTTTAGGCTAGCGTGTTAATATTTCAAGTGTTTTGGGAACCATCCAAAGTGCCTCAATGTTTCTGCATTTGGAAGCCTCCCCACATTTTTTTCGGTGTTGTCCAATGGATTTTTTTGCCCCTCCTGTTTTCCTTGGACGAAGCAAAGTATATAATCCCTTGGGATAAAGGGAACGGGGCGGGGCAGGTCCTTGTGGCGTTTACCGCAGGAGCATCGGCACTGTACTGCGTCCAAGTCGAAATCTTTACCCGTTCCTACAACCGTTCAATGACCTCTGACCCTGGGGCGTCGCAAGCCTCGCCCTCCCGGGGATGCGACACTGCGTTTTTCCATCCAGCAGAGAACACTCTACTTCTTCTATATTCCCATTATCGTACAATCATTGATAAATTCGGTTAATGTTAACTCTTTTATTCCATCACTCTTATCGAATCATCCACGGGGAAAAATATTCGTATGTTCTGTCACCACGCACACAAATTATTTTTTTTTAATATTAACTATGGAAATCTATGTTATAAAGTAGTATGGACATACTCATTTGTAGCTCTAACGAATCTTCATTTGACATGTAACATTAACCGAATTATTCTGTCGGTGTAGACATCATCAAGTAGTTGCCATATCAATTTCGGTTTACAACAATCGTCTGACAACAATGCCTCATCATTTCATCCTCTTAAACATCTAACGAAACCAAGAACTTTTTAATTTTCTCTTTCTCTTTTTTCTTTTATTTTTTAGATGAAGGCGGGTCTATTTGAAATGGTGAGTTTACAACATTTTTGAGCAAACACACACTAATTTTGAATAGTCTACAATTGTTTTGTTCAATAATTTTAATGATAAAGCAGAGAAAAATTTATTGTTTATTTTCAATTTCTAGGAATTAGCCTGCTTGTGACATGAATGTCAGAATAAAGATATAATCGAGCTAACTCGATTTTCTCTTTTATATACTCACTTTTTTCGTGAATATTTTGAAATCTAAGCTGCATTAAAATTATTCCTGATATACAGAACATTTTTTATAAGTCTGTTATAGATTTTTCTCTGAGCGCAACTAACGTGATTGTCTTCATGAAATTTTCAAATATATCCAATACTTAATTTTTCCTCGAATACTTCTCTTCGTATAACATTGTAATTACAACGATGTTCACTTTATAAAATATTATTCTGCTATTCGATTAAAAAATTTAAAAAATTAGCATGGCTATAATAATTCGTAAATAGTGGTGAGGAAAGGGAAATTGGGTTTCTTGAAAATGCGAGTTTTTTTCAGAAAGAGGTAGAGTGTAATATAGATTGGAGTTGAAAATCTTTATCGACGTTCAATGACCCCGACCCTGGCTAGACGTCGACGGGCGGTAGGGAGGAGGGAGAGGGTGGCCGTGGGCCGCGGTGGATACGCGGGGCCGTACGCTTTTGCAGTTGTGGGTGAGGGGTGGGTGAGAGAGGAGGGACCGGGGGTGGGTTGATACGGTGTATGCTGTTACGCGGCGGCGCGTTGTCTGATGAAAGGAGGGGTGGGAGAGGAAATTTGTAGAGTTGGATACCTCGGCAACCCCCGGAGGAAAGAGAGGGCGTCGCCTCGCGTCGGGTCGTCAACCTCTCTGCAGCACTGCGACGTCGGGGTCGTTATTATTTCCCTCTCCCTCTTCATCCCTGTCTCCCTTTCACTCCCCCGCCCCCTTCCTCTCTCTCTCTCTCTCTCTCTCTCTCTCTCTCTCTCTCTCATAGGCGTAAATACGAGCGTCGGTGTCACCCTTTCCTTCCCTCAACTCAAATCGAGGGACCGTTTCCAGAATTCTAGGGCTCTGCCTTGTTTTAAAATTTTTTTTTTTTATTTAAACACTTCGTTTTTGGTTTCTTCGACTTGAGTTGAGTTGAGTTGAGTCAGATTTCGAAATTTCAAGCGGACTCTTTATTTTTGCTTTAAAAAATTTGCCCATGAATCCTAGAGTTTCATTCACAGCATCGTAAAGAATTAAACATGAGGAGATTATCCTTATTACTTTTGTGCAAATAAAAATTTGTATTTTTTTCGTAACATTTAATAAAACTCCCCCCCTGCCACCTAAAAATATTGAAAATTAAACGGAGACAGTAGGCATAAAATCCAACATGCCAAGTATGAATGGGATGCTTACGACATTGAATTGTAAAAATGTTTCGATTAAAGTCTGATAAATGAAGAAGGGTTAAATTTCGACTTGAAAAATTTGGATTTTTGAAAGAGAAAAAAAGTGAAGCCGATAATAAGCAGTGGAAACACAAAGGAGACAAGTTGGTAAAAAATAAAGAAAGGAAAGGAAAGACCGAAGGGAAATATAATAAATAGAAAAGGGATTTTACATTGACCCTGAAGGGGTGGTGTGAGGTGGTATGAGGATGTGGTAAAGACGAGGGCTAGACGGTGGAAAGGAAGGGAAAAAAGCACTGAGATGAGGGGAAAAGCTGAGTTTTCCTTGAAAAAAAGAAGAAAAGAATATATTGCCACAGACGTTCTGGTAAGAGGGTGAAAGCGTTAGGCGATGGAGGTTGGGGTAGGCCTCGTATTTCTCCAGGCGAAAATCCCATCCCACCCCATATTCATCCCTTCCCCTTTTACCAGCCCAGACCATGGCTGGGCCACGATCGATGCCAGACAGACCTGTTTCACACCACCAAATACCATAGGCACACGTTCAAACAACCTTAGCCCTCTTCTCTCCCACAATTTCACTTAGCATCGAACTAAAAGATAAGCCAACCTCGCGCGGGGGCAATGGTAAAACAACTCCAATGACTAAAAGAAAAAAAAAGTGAGGTACAGTGAGGTTCGGAAATTACTCAAGGTCACACTTTCTGCCTTTTGGGAGCACGTTGTCAGAGTCAACGACCCGACCAATGAAGAGATTGGTGTCAGTCAGGACTCAATGAGCTCGTTAAATTTAGGCAGATGCGGAAGATCATAAAGTTAAATTGAAATAAATTGTTTGCTCATGAAGTGGTCGTCGGGCTTTTATAGTTGAAGAATTTGGCGCTTTACAATTGGCTCTTTGGGTCTAATTCCTAATTAAATTGAATTTTTCATGAGTCTGAACAATATTGCTATTGATGAGGGAATTCCTTTCCAATATTCCTCTTCAACCATTTCATTATTAATCGTATAATTTCAGCTTTTAATATATATGGGATATAAATTTCATTTTTATACGACCAATGGAAAATAATAGGGAAGAGCTCTAGTTATCTCTCATATCTCATACATACAATTGTATGATTATCTGATGCCCAATTAACGATAAATCAGTATTTAGACCGGAACCAGCACAGCCTTTCTTCCACTCCACCCAAAATCATGATTGATCTACGACTTATTGCACTTCACTTATTTCACTTCCCTTCTAAATTTTTCAAACAAAAAATTAATCTTCAGCAATTGGAATAAAATACTCAATCTATAAATAATAGATGAATTTTTGGTGATAATAATATTAATTATCTTTTAATATGAATTGGACAATGGACAATCCACATTTGCTAATTAATTTAATCGAGAGAGGGAAAAAAATAAAGTGAAATTGGGATAATTCGTGGAGTTGAACGGGAGTTTAATGGGGTGGATTTTGTCAGAAAATATTAGTCACAGAGCCATTAATTGGCCTCAAATTTATGTTATTCGAACGAACATGTTCAATTATAAAGTTGGTGAAGTGCAATGATGATGGATAAAGCCACGCGTGTCTTGAATTCAATATCTCCGCCTATTCTATAACAAATTCACCATTGCCAGGACCTGCTTCGGGGTAAAGTTAAGGTCTGGGGTGTATGCGGGGAGGAGAGTGTTTTCTTTGAAGGGGGCGGCCTCGCGGCCCTTGTCGCGAGACGACATTGAAATAGGCGTGCGCGCGCGCGCACGCGTTCTCACTCTATGTCAATTTAACTTTCTACCCTCTCGTTTAAGTTGCCCTTCGTCCTGCCTTTCTCCATCTTGCTCTTTTCCACCCCAAGCCCGTGGATCGACAGTAGAGGTTACAAGAAAAATTCCACCGGAGCAAAGGACCCTTTCATCACACTCACTCTTTTCTCACCCTGCAAATTCAATGTTTCCCACTCAGATTAATATCCGCACACATTTTAGTCTTCGCTGTAGTATATTCACTTCAAACTTGAAATGTTGAATGAAAAATTTGTCAAATTAAATTTTTCCCACAACTTACTATTGCTTAGGGAGGTATTAAAAAAATACGTGAAATTCCGGAAAAATAAAAGTTTGCTATTTGTTGCTATTTATTGCCGATTCACAGAATCTCTCCTACATGAGATACATCACTTCCCAGATCGGCAAAGACTCGAGAGAAAAATCATCACGTCTTTGTTTGTTGAGAAATGCCGAAGAAAGTTGGAGGAGGAAGAAGCTTGCTCGTCGGCTCGTGGTGCATATCTAAATATAGAAGTGACCGTCGCCAATGGAACTTGCACACGGACATTAGGTGCTGTTGCACGCATACGCATACGCATACGCATACGCATACGCATACGCATACGCACACGTACGCGCACACTCTACCTGATACCAATCCAATCCACATAATTATCCTTCAAAATCCTCTTTAAACAAATTAAGAGAATACTATTAAAAATTAGCGAGCCATGGGGAAAAAGTAGAATGAAAAAAATTTCAACCAAAGTTCATTGAACCGCGTCAACACCCACTTTATAGGGATTCTCCCATTGTCATTGAACATTGCTTGTTTTACATTGTGTCACTATAGTATCTCTCCCCTTTTTTCCTCAGCTCTCTCACTCAACCATTGAGAAGTAAAAATTGCGAGAGAGCGAGAGAGGCACATGAGTGGGCCTTTGTAATGTCAATTCTGTCGCGTGGGTAGTCCATCAATTTTCCATTTGCGGAGGTTGTTCAACGTGTGATAAAGCCAGAAATAAAGCAACCTCATACGAATCCGCATTCTGGATGCATCTATATTGCTTGTCAATTTATCAGAAGATATCACAAAAAAAGCTTCAGATTTGGCATTTTCTACGATACATTATTTAAATAATAATTTCAATTTCCCAGGTAGAACATGTAAATCAATTCACTACTGAAGGATGTATGGGTATGAAGGATTTCTTAAAATTTCTTAACGAGCCTACACTGATGCCAATAGTCTAGCCGTATGGAGTTCATTTCAGTTGTCTCGTTTTTCCTCTCCTCCCTTTTTCCTCTCTGCATTGCGCGTGTGCAGCAACTGTATGAAGCTGCAATGACTTGTTCTGCATTCCAATACTTGGTACCGTCACCACGAACTCCCCTCTCTCACTATCTCACCAGTCCACTGTACAACATTCATTTAATATCAAGTATACCGACTGTTCGGGGCAACCGAAATTAATAAATTTTTGGTTTTTGGCAGATGTCCAGTAAATTTTTTTCGTCATTCTCACTGCCAAGAAGTTGATTCCACTTCTCCACAGTATTTTATTTGAATTTTTTACTCCCGAACACAAAATCCTTCTCGTATTCGTTAACATTTAAATCTCCAATTTTTATGTCCGCTCAGTACATTGTGACAATATTCCCACCACAAAAACTCATCTGAATTTTCAAATATATCCAATTATGTACTTGTTTATTCGTTCCTTGAAAACATTTCCACCACTTCCGGTAGAAATAAAGGAATCAAAGGGTGGGGTTTTTCACGTTGGCGAATGACAATGATTGGACAACTTCCGACTGACGCATACACAGATATGCGCCCATGGGATAAAACGACACGGTGACGTGGATAAAAAAAAAAAGAATGGAGAAGTAAAAAATTTTATATACATGATGACATCCTTGTTTGTCGAACCGAGGAGGCAAGTGGGACTCTTGCATGCACAACCATTGCTGGTACATACGATAGAGCTCAATAAAAATGAGAGAATAACCCCATACGAGGCAATATATAATATTACTTAATTATGTTTAATTTAATAATATTTCTTTTATTTAAGCAATTTTCCTACACGTCATAACTTTTCTTTGGAAATTCCCGGTTTCCCACTGATTATTATCACTTGGATACATCGGGCTTTCTCCACTGAGGCACTCGGTTAATTCTAATATGCATGAGTATGGAGATTGAAAATTTACTATTGGGGCTTGCCGGTGTTTGAATGTATTTTTTTTATTATTTTGTCATGAGGGAATTGGAGTTTTTTCGATTGAAATTCCTTTACGAGGATGGAGATGTCCCTGAGTCACAGTGGGCCCATCAGTGGACGACCCAAGGACGTCATGGGTCCCAGATTTTGCGAGTCTTCGTCCTCGGCTCCCCCACTGTTTTTTTTTTTTTTTTTTTTTCAAACTCGTCTTCTCATTTATGGTCCTCGAATACGCCTCTGAACGATGAGGTTCAGCGGCTTATTGAGAATTATTTAACGTAGTTTATCCCAAACCGCGAGGATTTGAAAAGGTTTTGAAAAGATCTTGAGGTTGTCTTGGGTTTATATATCCCCGCCACAATGTCATCTGAATTTTTAGTTGTATATGAGTTTGAATTCAAAGTCACAAAATGATTGGCGATTATAATCGTCTACTTACGACGAATTTAAAAGCACGTATGTTTTAACATATCCACGTGTGCATGTATAACACCGGATAAAAATATTTTTTCTTTGAATTATCCTGTTTCAACTTGCTACAGACGTCAGTGGTGAGTCACTGTCTGCCGACTAAACAATGTGAGTGAAAAGAAATAACGTGAAAACAGCCTGGTCATCTCGTCTGCACTCCAGTGCCCATATAAACCAACATATCATGACAAAAGTACTGTAACGAAAAATGAAAATTCAAATGGAAAATAAAATGTCGTCTGTATTTTATGTTCCAGGAGAAAAATTCATTCTTGAATTACAATGTCTCATGTATTCTCACTCTGCCGCCCTATCAGCGTCAGGGATATGGAAGGCTTCTCATTGACTTCAGTGAGTAAATAAATTTCAAGGAGTTCTCTCATTTCTCTATTTCTATAATGCATGTCCATTTTCCTGGTAGATACATTGTATAAATTTACTATTTGGTAGTGAGAAAGGTACATTATAAATATAGCTCATTTTGGAGAAGGATTAATTGGCGAACTGTGCTCGATGCATTTCTATGTCTGATACACTTATATAGCTATTAAAAATCAAGTAGTGATAACAATAGTCACTCACTGAAAAAACTCCCTTCAAGCAAGCGGCAATATGATTTTCCCCGTGTGACGTCATTTTCATTGATGCTGACAGAGTGTGGTGGCACGTAGTACGGAGAGATGGTTCGTCAGGTGGGGTGGCAACCCCCAGTGGAGTTCTAACACATCTCCATGTATATATGAGATAGGATGTTGGAATTTTCAGGGACGTATACAGCAACAGCAGCAGCAGCAGCAGTAGCAGCATGTATAACAGCATGTATATGAGTGTGCTCTGGCATCAATGTCTGCAGAATGGTTGGCCAGATAGAGGAGGAAAGTGCGACGTCCAATGTCTCGCCACATCGACCCGTATCCCACCACTCGACTACATACATGCATCACAATTCTTCCCAAAACCATCTTCAGGGGAGCAATTTATTTATTAAAAATACAATGGAAAGAGTTGTGTCGATATGAGAAGAAATTCCTAATAATGGACAATAACGGTCCTCGATAAGTTTGAAAAAAAGGAGGGTTAAGGGTAAATTTTAATTGATGGCGAAATCATCGGTAACCTCCAGTAAACCCAGGTGATAGTGTTTTGGATCGGATTATGTGTCTTTTGGATTGGATTAAATAAAATAGTCAACTTTACTCTCCTTCTCGTTTAATGTGTACAAAAGTGACCGGGAGAAAATTGCAGTTAATGCTCCTCATCGAATTGATTTATTAATTCGGTCTTTGCTAGTTTATTTGATTTTGTTTCTCCTCTCATCTGTATTTTACCTCCTACCCCTCTCGGCCCGGATGAGGTTGAGTGAAGGGGAACACGGCTGGGTGTTGGAGATCCACCGAGACATACTGGGGGTGCGTTGGCTCTATAAAGGGAGGACGAAAGGGCGAGAGGGATTCGCTGCTAGAGAGACGGTCGTTGAACCTGGTTCCCACCCAGGGCCGCAGCCCTCAAACACCCATCTCCACTATTTCGAGGATTGGTTGGTTTACAAGGATTTTTACGATTCCCCGAGAGACTCTGGAATCGCGACCCCTGAATTTCAAACTAGGATAGACTGTCGATTTTCTTATAAATATAAATCATTGAATCGACATCTGATGGAGATCTGATGAGGACAAATAAAATTGCACAATTGTTTGACAGCATTAGGTTGAATGAGTCTCGACGTTCGTCTGTTAGAATTTTCACCAAGATCAAATCAAGTCCGCGGATTTTGATGAAATGTCGGTTTGTGGATTCGCGTCATTACAATTGTATGGTGTAACGAGGTGGAACGATCGTTCAACCAAGTATAATGGCCAGACGCGGTCTCATCCTTTTGCTCGGTCACTGACTCGATCAATTTCAGACATTCTCCCTTACCATTGGAGTCATCAAACCCCTTTGAATAACAACTTTTGTATCTTTATTTACTAGGGAATTAAAATGCCACTTGACACAGTGGGACTCAAGTGTGAATAAGTTGAATGAAAAACAATAATTTGACGGAGACTCTGAAGAATAATTTATCGTTTATCAAGTCTCGAGTTGTTTGTATCTGTTTGAGCTTTGGTAGCGGATGTCATTGTTTAATCAACAGTGCACTGTATAGGGATGACGCAGCCTTAATAATTTTGGTGAAAAGGAGAATTGTTATTTGGCTCACTACAGTTTCCACGTAAAAAGTCTGGTTTCCTGTTTCAGGTTATCTGTTAACGAGGGTTGAGAAGAAAATAGGCTCACCAGAGAAGCCATTGTCCGATCTTGGTCTCATATCGTATCGTAGCTATTGGAAAGATGTGCTACTGCAGTACCTTTGTAACTTCGGTGGAAAGGAGCTTTCAGTAAAAGGTGGTGCACATATCATCCATGCAATTGAATCTAAATTTCCTCATGGAATATAAGTATTGTGTAAAAAAATTCAATGTTCTCACTGTTATCAGACATCAGCAAAGAGATGGCGATTGACTCGTACGACATTGTGAGCACCCTCCAGGCCCTCGGTATGATGAAGTACTGGAAGGGAAAACATATTATTCTTAAGAAACAGGTGAGACTTTTATAAAAAAAATCATCTCAATTCCGGCTTTTTCATATCTTTTTGGTAAATTGGGTTTTATCCAAGCACATTGAGGACAATATCGCATTGATACACGTTCCATAAGCAATACAATAACTTACAATAGAGGTATATGGATGTAGGTAGGACCGCGTTGGGTATTGGAAAATTGCGATCAATGTCACTCGTTGTTGGGCGCAGGCCCAAGCACAATCCAGCAACACTTTTTCACCTTTTTTTTTTCCACTTTTCATTCATTAAATTGCAATCACCTGGAGTAATTCAATGGCCCAATGACAATAGTATTTATTATCGACGAATGACACGACTGCAATTATCACTCATTCATCAGTGAATTTATCAACACCCTAATTGAGTTATTTTAATTCGACAATGCCAGGCTATATTGTTCATTGTAACATTTCGGCCACCAAGCAATGTTAAAAATTCATTATACATGACACGGATAATTTTTTTTACTCCGTCATTCTGTTTTCGCAATGGTATGTCGCATGATTCACAGGATGTGATCGACGACTACAAGGAGAGGGTCAAACGACGTGGTCCCATCTACAAAGAAATCGATCCGGAGTGTCTGAAATGGAATCCTTTCCAGCCACCCAAGACGCCCTCAGCCACTAATTGAGCTCAGACGAGCAGCAAGGGACAATGATCTCATTGATGCCACCAGACATCACCGACTACCAACACTCACAAAGTCCTTTTCCCCCATTTCATTTTTCGTTGCCATCACCCCTCCGTAGAAGCTAATATAAGGGAGGTTCACCCTGGTCATGTATGGCTAACCATCGACGGACGTTATCCAAGGGGGTAAAGACAAAAAATATATCTTACCACTTGCATGAAAGAATAACCTCTGTCGCTCTATTTTCAACTTTTACTCCATCAGCTAATCAGCTAATATTTTATGAGATTACTTTCTTCATAATGAAAATTCTCGCTGATGGGATTTTCGTTAATTAATTAATTAATCTCGTGCCTTAATCACTAGAAACTTGAATTACACAGGATTTTAGGATGAAATAATGTGCAAATGGATGAGAGTTATTTTTCAACTTTAATTACAATTAATTACTTGGAAAGGGGAGAAAAATACCTCAAGTTATATTGGGGGCGATCAATGTGTAATATACCGGAAGCAATCATTTCAGGTGGCTTTCTCGTGCATTCAAATGAAGTACAAATTAGTCATATTTGACTCATTACCGTGTCAACTGTGAGAATATTTGTAATGTTATGTAAATATAATGATTGAGTGGAACAATGATTTTTGTGAGTAAAGTGATTTAAATTGTTGAGAATCATCATGCTTCATCCTATCAATCTTCCTTCATAGTTTCTGGTTTATACTTGTCAACGTATGGAGGCTTTTTCAGACCAGTGATGGGTTGGTGCATTATTGCCTTTAGCCGCCAATACAGGGCAGCACGACGCTCCTCCGAGAATGATATTGGAGCATTTTTGTACACTGAAAGCATTGACCTCATTAAATAATTTTACGAAATATGTTAAATAACGTTACCGTTATCATCGTTACCGTTTTTATCATTTCGTAAAAGTGAAATATTTTTTAATCGGTGCATTCTAACAAAATTTTTTTTTTATCAAAAATTGAGGAAATTGACTAATAAAAGAATTTAATGCAATTTAGAAGCAGTTGGCCCCGAGCTCAGACGCTATTTGTTGGGAGGTGAGCAAAGGGCGTGTAATTGCATTAGCAGAAGTTAGCGGAAGTTTCCACCAGTCACTTTTCCCCTCTGCGATACTCTTCGAGCATGTGAAATCTCCATATAATCTCGTTATCTCATTAAGTACACCATCGTGCTGTAATTTGGAGAATTAAGTGGGAATAAATAGGAATTCTGGAGGAATTATTATCGATTGGGGATGATTAAGCCGGTGAACGATCGTCTGTAGGGATGATAAAGTTTTTTTTTTGGTAACCATGGTATCGCGTACTGAAGGACCTCTAATAGGGAATTCATATTGAGGATATCAATGTATAGATTATGAAATTGGTATTCTTCAAATGAGTCAATTAAATGGTAGATGTCAATTAATAATTTTCAGCAAAGAGTATTCTTTTTACACTTGACTTTTATAAAATAAATAATTGAACAAAGACTGTTTCGCTTTTCCCTACTAAAATGTAGGTCACAAGCCAATAACAAGCGCAATGAAAGGGATCAATGACGAGTGCAAAATATCCAAACCAGCCGTATCTGCAAAAGTGTACGGCCTTGTCTTCGGCTTTCATCTACCGTATCAATGAACAAACAGCAAGACAAATTATATCATAAATACCCAGATACATATGGATTTGCAGACTTTTTGGACGTCCGAGGTCCGCCACAGGTTTAATTTTAGAAATATATCGTCAAGGCGAAAAGACATTACCAAATATGTGAGAGTAAATCCAGAGCCAGAGGCCTCCGGAAACTCCTAACAGTGTCAACCCTAAAATGCTCTTCCACTCGCTGCTTGGTTCATCCATTTCGGCGAATGTCTGACAGAAACTCGCGCGATAAAGTGTCTTCTTCTCGTCAAGACAAAGTCGACGCCAATCCCCGCGCTCTTTCTCCCTCAAGGCCTTGTTTAGATTTTTAATAAATCAAATAATCACAATATTATTGACAAAGAGATCTGAAAATGATAATTAAAATCACCGTAGTAATTCAGAATAACGATTTACCATCAGTTTCGGGGTATTTTCTCGAAATCTAATCGCTGGAAATGGACACATCTCCAGATCCATGTACATGTATGTTCCATTTAATCCGTATCCAACTACGTCACGATTTCCAATTTTGTCACGATTGCAAATACCACGTGTGGTGCGATGAATGCCCATGATGCGATGGCTGAGTAAGCGTGTGCTCAGCATTATCTGCATTGCTGATTATTTTTCCTAGATATTCAAAATTTTTATATGTCGCGAACAAAGAACGACGAGAAACAAGTGACTCCTTTGCACACATGTTCTTACTATTGCAAAAACTTCTCCGCTATATATATTTTTTGTTCTTTTTATAACGACAATCGAGCATCCATGAGGACACTCCTATAGTCACATCAATGTCTTTTTTTTTTCAGTTCTCAAGAGACAAATTCAAATTTCTCTTCTTTGTTATCAGCACAAAACAGACATTTTTAATAATGACGAATGAGTGTGTGAAACAACTGTTTAATCGAGTGTCCCCCGTTAAAATTACAATAATACATACATATAATGATTGTAAGGGCAAAGAAAATCACCAATTCCAAGGGAATGACAAATGTAGCAAGGCATAGTCATATGAATTGCGCTCCAACAGGTGCCGGGTATTAGTACCACCAGAGCACCTGATGAAGTACAATCAACATGCAGCCTCCATGGCTTCACATCAACCTCAACCTCAGCCAAGGCCTCCTGATGATCCTTCAGCTTTCCACCAATCCCTCCCTCCTTCATTCTTATGATTTTTCGACGTTTTTTATTGCACATTTCAAGGCTCGGCTCGTTTTCTCATTCGCAACTGTCGTGGATGATGCTCACCCGTTTCGCGCGCTACTTCAGGTACCTGACTCGAACATAATCACAGCCGGAAGTACCCGAGTAACGCCCGTTACAAGTGGCATTTTTTTTTTTTTTTTTCATTTTCAAAGCTTGCTCAACGCTTTGGTTAATTTATTTCTACTCAACCTGGAAGAGAAAATTAATTCGTTAAGAACTCACTGGGACAATGAAGTGACAATGAGTGAAGGACACTTGTTTTTTCATAGAAAAATCTCACGTCATATCAATTATGCGTGTGGCCTTGCGACAGGGATATAATAATAAATGACCTGCTGTGACCTTAGACCCCATTTTCGTGCCAATCAACGAAGGCTACGGTTTTTTTTTTTCTTTTCCTTTTTCATTTAATATATTACCCTGATTATTGTGTAATTCTTGAAGCTGTTGCTACGGTATCGAAATCAATTTTCTAGCTTACCCCCTCGGAGTTTACCCTTAGAGCAAACACTTGATGGGGGCAAATTTTCAAATCACAATCAAACTGAAGGACGAAACAAATGGGATACAATACAACAATGAAGAATTTTATGTATAGATTTCAACCGCTAAACATTGATATTGTATGCTTCGATATATTTATTTTTGCACTTTACTGGTATCGGGTGGATTATTTTGTTGGGGAGAATGGACTAAGAAGATCCTTTGCTTTTTTCTTGAATGGGGCCTTGTGCAATTCTACTACACAACCGACTGATATTTTTTTATGCTCCATTATTTTTTTCACTATCACCAAAATAATCATTTTCTTGTAAATTATTACAGGATTGGAGAAAATTTCGAAATCTGAAAATCATACCTTTATTTTATATAAATTCTTGGTTAATTCCATTGCTCGTCTGAAACATGGTAACTAGTATTGAAGGAAAAATAAAATTGATTGAAGTTGGGTAAAATTTCTAAAATTTTTCGAGTAATGTGCACTCTCGGCTTTAGTTGCACCTACAAGAGTCGAAGCTAAACTGACAATCCACCCGACGTGGAATCCGAAAAGTTACTCACGCATTCCAACCTCGAACCTGTCCTTTTCACTTGGCCAACAAGCAAGTGAAGGAATGAGAGAAGATAATAAAAACCAGGAGGGAGGGCAACTTGTGGAAGGGGTAAAGAGAGAAACGGTTTTCTGTTCTTCGTGCAGATGTTAGAAGGGATTGTTGAAGGGGTCAGGTAGCAAAGAAATTTTTCCTGGAAAAAATGAGGCTTTTGCAACATGGTGATTTTGTGCATTTGCAGGGATGTCGAAGATATACTGAGAATAGGGGACAATGCCATGTGTTGAAAGGCAAATACCGTACGATTATTTAGACTGAATACACCCATCTGACTCTCTAAATCAGTAGGAAAAGTCACTATTCAATGAGGACATTTGTCCTAACGCTGACAAATGGATATATTCTCGTTGAGAGCATTTTCTGGTTCAAGGACTTGGCCAATTTGATTATTGTCCTTGTCGAGTTCTCTCGAAATTCTCTTTATTTTGTCAATTATGAACACTTGTCGGATACGCGGATTGTCCATAATTTTATTTGTTAATAATTAATCGGATTATGAAATTAATAATTGACTTCGGGATTTTACTGGGTCTTTTTTCGCCTGAAATAATCCCCATGTGTGATTTTCAATCGGCACAACATTTACTCCTACACAAATTGTTCATAATTTGAATGATTCCATCCTCTAGAATTAATTAAATAAATGTGAAATTAAGTGACGAAGCATCAGTGAAATTAACAAGTCTTCAAAAATGATTCATATCAGCGGAAAACTGATCGAGTCAATGATGAAAAAATGAATCATTACACGATTACAAGAAGATATTTCAGTAAATTTCTCAGCAGGCAACATTGGCTCCCGAGAAAAGCCATAACGCAACAACGAAGGAAGTTATAAAATTGAAATATTCTCCTGTCAAAATCATTTAATTACCAATCTACCGAAAAATAATGCACGTTGAGGCAAAGACATTAGACATTATTTTATTTCCAATTTGCCAATTTCAATGTTAGACTGGCGGAATGTGTGCTGACGCTAATCGTAGAATCCCTGAGTCACACACAATTTTTGCTGCGTGATAAGTGAGTGTTAGCACTCAATATCACTTTAAACTAGTGTATAGATACACAGAAGAAAGACGAAACATTGTGGTGTGTGATTGTTGAAGAGTGGGAGTATGAGTGTAAAAAAGATAAGTGCTTGGACAACGGGAGCGGATATCAAATTATCCACGATTATAAACACTCCCGTTGACGCCTCAAATATCTCTCATTCCTTCTACTAAATTAATTACATTTGTCTTTAATAACGGCTTAAATATTTTGTACAAAAGCCAATATGCCGTTGTAATCTCCCCTTAAAAGGGAAAGGAAATTATTCATATAGCATGTTAATTGTCAATCGTAAAACAGGTAATCAAGTGAAATTCTTCAATGTATGGGGTGGGAAGGGGGAGAAAAAAAATAAAAACCTATGTATAGTGTGCGTGACCTTGAGACAAAAGAGGCGTGACCGACATCCGTAATTAACCCAGCCATTAGCATGAATTAATAAATTGTGCTCTCATGCAAAACGAGAGAGTGAAGAAAAAAAAATTGCCTCACTCTTCCAAAAATTCCTCCGTCGGATACAAATTGACAGATGTTTTTTTTTTTTTTTTTTCGTTCATTCTTTCTCATTCGCAAGAATCTCGAGAGGGAAGCGATAACGTGTGGGCGAGTGAGTCGACCTTGTAAAGCACAGACAGGAGAAGTGGTGAAAGAAGAAAGAAAATAGTAAGGCGAAATGGAGCAGCCCTCCGTTTTGTGCGAATAGCATGGTGTGGTAGTGGAATTGCCAGTGTGTTGTGGAAAATTATTTCAAGCGGACTCTACCACTTTAGTTTAACGCGAAGGAATGGTATATAAAGGGAGGTCTGGGATCTGAGGAGTCTGAGGAGGACAGGGGAGCACACGGAATGACGTAGACATAGCGAATTCGCCTGGTGGCCTGGTGGTCGCCTGGCATTGAGAACTCGGGTGCGTGTGAGTGCCGAGGTTAAACGTTTGCCAATTATCATTATTATTCTCGTTATTTCATCAATCATGTGGCCTATTGCATATATTGGATTTTTTCCCAATTTGTCAATTTCAATATCAATTCACTCACACCCAATTCACCAAACCAAACAGATTCACATCTTGAATTTATTCATTTGAATTCCATACAAACTATTAGAAAAAGAAACAAAATAAAAATCACTTATTTCGCTCCAAATATCTTGAACCGTTGGAGAAAACGGTTTGAGGGGCCGCCTCGCCAATGGGGGATTGCATTGAAACTTCGAGTATGTATTAGTCAAGAGGGGAAGGAAGAAAAAAGAAATTGGCGTGAAAGAACGAAAAAACGGGCATAGCAAGAAAAACGTTTTTTTTTTTTCACTCTTTTCACTTGAAAGTGGGAGGTACGTGACATATTGAAGGTTGAATATGAGAGGGGTGATGAGAGAGAAAGAGGATGCATCGGGTGAATTGTGCCCAACGACGGTCCACCAAGAAATTCCAATGGAGAATTTCAATGCCTTTATCACTTTGTTTTTTAACGGTATTTTTTATATAAAACAGTTGTTGATTTGTCACACCCTCCCAGCAGATTTATGCTCCAGTAATAGCAAGAGCTTTGTGAAACTGCCATCTATGAATTTTTTCCGGTGCAAGAGCCTCGATAAATAGGGCCGGTTATTGAACTGAAATTGCCAACTTATTTATTGGCATTAAAATTTACTCCCGCACCCTTTCGACTTTTCCCCATTGGCGTCTTTAGGCGCTATATTTAGAACTCCGCACTACAGATTGCGCTTAGCAGCCGATGCTTGCCGTACAAAGAGGCATAAATATTATAAAAATAAAGGAAAAACTTGAAATTGAAAAAGTGGTATGAATGGTCCTGCACTATGTTATGGTTTTGCAAAAATTGTCTGAAGGCCTCCACACGAATAAAGAGTACCATATACAAAAGGATATTGTTGGACGTGTTGAGAGTACTCATTAACACTGCCATTATTGGTATGTTTTGGCTCTAGGGACTAACAAAATCATTTTTTTTTTGCTCATGAAATCCCCTATATTTTCTCAATTATTCGCGTCGCAGAAATAATTCGTCGTTATTCGGGGGCCTCCAGCATAAAGAAAATGAGAAAATTTATGGGGCCAAATTGATCAGAGAGCTGAGATTTTTATTAAACTGAGTACATTCGCCCCTGTCACCTTAATTGAATTTTCAGTGCAGATATCAAGGTCATGAATACGAAATGATGGTGAGAAATGAGTGGTGAAATACAGTGACTATTCCCTCGGAAATAATGACACTCAGTGAAGACCCGTTACTTGCACATGAGGTCCCGAAAAGGGTTGGTTAAT